CAATTAAATGCTACATGAGGCACAAGTCTTTAGGAACTAATTACATTTCTTGTTCTCACAATGTTATTATGCATGAAGACACTATTTGAATAACCTAAAAGCATTCCACAGTCCCTGTGTGAGTACAGGATTGGTAAAGTAAAAAATAAAACAAAACAAAACAAAAAAACAGTGAGTGAAAGCCTGTGACAGCATCCTCTCTGATTTTAAGAAATGTTTCCTGCCTGGACACATCTGTATATTGATGGGAATAAGAGTGCTCTGGCTCCCAAGATGAACTACAAATGAGTATCAATTTGTTAAAAAGTAATGATGTATTTGACTTTAGAATAGATGTGAAAGAAAAATTCAGCATTGCTGGAATGAATACATCTGAAGCAACGTTCTAATGTACTAACCTGTATTTTTCAAGGATTAAAGAACTTTTATACAAATAGAACTAGTGGACTATTTAATACCAAATACATTACTTAAACTTCATACAACTGCTTCTGTGGCAAAGCTGTTAATGAAAAGTATATCATTTTTAATTAGCATTTATGCCCTGGTATTGTTAGAAACCAGACAAAACATACACACAGTTAATTCGTATCTTATAAAAGGGATGTGGAGAAGAGATAAAGGTAATAGCCAGAGCTCATCCTCATGCAGCCGTGACATTGGACTTTCTCACAAAGTTTTTCCCCATGAGACTATAAGAAACAGGTAATGCAGGAGCGGAGCGCTGATGCTGAGATTTCCACTTCACTCAAGACCACACCAAAACTCAAGGATTTCAGTCTAAAAGATGTCAACAGATGAAAAAAGGATCTTCTTCCTCATTACAAGTGTGGAAAGAGGGATATCCTGGCTGGGTTTTCTGAAACTGAAAACACCTATTTGCATAAGGATAGGAGATATCTGCATCTCACTGATGAAAATAATTTAGGGAAAAATAAAGCTGGTGGAAAAGTTTCAAAGAGTATCTTTTTCCGTAAAAAAAGCAGGAGCAATTGTTAATACCATTTTTCATTTTAAAAGTAATCTTCTACTAGTATGAACTTTTTCTTTTATTAATTTCTAACCTAAAGGAAATAATAGAGTATAAATCTCTCCAGTAAGTTATCTCATGGCAAAGTGACAACAATATGTTTATCAGCAACAAACATGATAACCACAAATGTGTGTGTTAGTAGGCTCCTTTGAGCTCAGCAAAGACAAACAAGTGCCCCTTCAGTTCAGAGGTATGGAGAACTGTGCTGAAATTAAGCCTAGCTATACTGCACACAAAGAAGTTTATAAATGAAGAATGAAAGAAACTGAATTAAGGAGATGTTTCAGTCTGTGCCTCCAGAAGTCAACACAGATGATCCTGCCAAAAGGGGACAGCTTGCTTCTTTCTACCCCTCTCCCCCTTATTCCTGGTCATGTGAAGTATTCCTTTCTTTACTTCAGCTGTATCAGTTGAGGCACCCCTCTGCAATCAGTAACAGAGTAGAAAATAATCTGTGTGTTTCTGCTGGCTTAGTTTTTTTCTCTCACTTTAGAAGTTCTAGCTCAGAAGGTTTTGACAATCACTGGAACTGCAATAAAAACAGCATCATGAGCTTGTTCCTAGGAGCTGTGGGAAAATGAGACAAAGAAGCCAGTTTTCTCTCTTTTTCAGTAGCAGTGAACTGCTAGATCAGCTCTCCACATCTCTCCATCATACCCTCTAAATCAGTAGTACTGACTCTGTAGTCTGCAGATTTGCTCTCAGGCACAATGACCTTGTAAGTGATGTCCCAAAATAGGCAAAACGGGTATAGTTCAATTGGAAAGAGAATCCTATTAAAAAAACCACAAATGCTGAATCAGTAAATAATCAAAAGATTGAAATGCAAAGCACTGATGCTGGAAGACTTTCAAATGAGACAAACCCCCAATACCTCCTGATCAGTTGTCATCAGCAGTGACTCCCTGGGTTCCCTCACAGTAGAAGTGCTGTTAGCACCAGCATCCTGATGATTTTCCAGTTTCTGGAAATTTTCAGCCTGTGCTCTAGGAACTTTTCTTTTAAATGATTGATCTATAGTGTTGCTGTACTCCTAAAAAAGGGCATCTACTTTTCTTTACCTTTGAACACCAGGGAATTAATGCATGTTTCATTGTAACTGTCATGGGCACATCAATAAACAGAAAAAGCATGCATATATATTCAATGGTATAATAGAAAGGTTTTACTCAACATTGGTTTTAAGTGGCCTATTTTCTTTGAAGTGGTGACTCTACATTCAGATGACTTCTACAGATCACCACAAATGAATGCCAGTAATTTTTTTTACAGTATCATCTGGTCATGTGTTCTTCTGCATGTCACATTCTGTATTGAAAATTATTTTATAAATGCATTACAGAGTTTTTAAAGGCTTTTAATTGATACCAGTTTTCCTAGGAGGTACTATCTCCCTAATACAGAGCCAAGCTCTTTACTATTATGAGACTATGTCTATCCTCTAGGGGAAATTATAATTAGATGCTCCTGGTGGTTGGTTTTCTTGTAAGAATCTTATATTTGCAGTTCAGTATTAACTGACAGGCCCACAGACTTGATATTCAGCAGGGATGAGCTTTTGCAATCTCATTAAAGTTTGTACCAATTTGATAAAGTTTCAAATCTTTGGAAAATCAGCACTTCATCATTCTGAACAATATGTTGTAGATTCAATGGTAAATGATTACTAATTTTTTGTCCTCACTGAGTATGGTCTCAGCCCTGATCAAAGTGGGCTGCTGCTTCAAAGAACAAGTAAGGATACCACAGTATAATGCTACAACAATCAGAAAGACATTCTTTAATAGCAGTTAGGCCCATTGGCTTCAAAGTGAAGACAATAGCAACGTCCACCAGCTTCAAAGTGAAGGGAAAGACAACTATTTCTCGAGCAGTCTAATCACATCTGCCCTCTTATCATTCACCAGCAGAGGAAGAAGCCACCTAAATTCAGAGGCATGGCTAAAAGCAAACCAAGAGCCCAGGAAAGAACAAGATGGGTACAAAGAATCTGCTGACAGCAGAGCTTTAAGAGTAGAAGAGAAAGTATAACAGACATGGAAAGGTGAATTTAGTCATCAGAAAGATCAAGAGGGCTATAAGCTACATTATCAGGTGAGGAGGAACACCAAGAACAGAGAAATGGTTGGAAAAATAGAAGAACCTGGACTAGGACTTGCTGAAGAAGGTGGAGATTAGAAACACAAGCTATCGGAGTGGTAGAGGAAGACACAAGAAGCTGACTCTAAAAGGAGAACAAAGCCTTAAGGACAAACAGAATGAACAGTGAATGGAGACTGATGGGAAAGATGGGTCAGATAACAACCTGGGACGGGGAACCTGGGATTAGTTGGCCAACTAAATTTGGGGGCATCGGGGACAATAATAAAACTCAGACTGGTAGGGAGGGTAAGATTAGGACTAAACCCATTGCAACAGAGTCCCCTTTACCACTGCAATCTGTAGGTGCTACTGCCCCCGAGTTGCAAATAATCACCCTTGGCAAACAAAATATTTAAATGGGTCAGGTGGGGACAGGAAGGACAAGGAGTTAAACTCCTTCAGGTGAGCACTGATTCATACTGGGGGTACTGGGAAGCAAAATCCTTCTTCCATTTCAGTCATGCATAAGCATAAGGTGCAGAAGCTTGTCTGTCACAGCACTGGCAGTTAATATATGGAAAGGCTTGAGGAAAGAAATGCTGTCTTGGTCTTGATTCCTTCTCACTCCACATTACGGAGATTGATCTCAGAAGAATGTATCAGAATACCACGAGGAATCCATTTCAGAGCTCCTCTTAGCACAAGGATCATGTCACTCTGTCTATATCTTCTATTTGGTCAGCAGCTAGGAAAATTCTGATACCTTTTGAGCCAGCCAATCCACAGCTGTAGACGATCTGATTCGTGAGGTGTACATGAGAAGGTTTGCTTAGAAGGCTAGATAAAGCAGAAAATTCTACTGTAACACTGGCATAGCTCCCTCACCCACAGTAAGCAGTACCTGGTATATTTTTCCAGAAAAGAAAAAAAAAAAAACAAACCACGGAAGTCAACTTCACCTTGAAACTGTACTTACAGCTATTCCTTTATTTTAACTTGTAAATTTTTGTTTGGGCTTTTAGCATTTAAGCTAAGTCTTATGGCATATAAGTATATACATGTTTATGACTTATGAATAATGACATTCAGTTTTCTTCATCAACATTAGTAGGTGTTTGTTTATAATAATGGGCGAGAGCTTATCTCACTCTAGACAAATTTCATATTACAGTACAATTGCTGAGCCTGGGAAGGTGTGTTCATTTGCATTTAATTCTTTTGAAACAGTGAAATTCTGCCACCCTCTGGACAACAACTAAAGAAAGATATTTACAATCAGCCTCAAAAGTAAAAAAATCCCACTGTTGCTGATAAACATTCATTCCTTTTTAAGCACATTTTAAAATTAATTACTAGGCTGAATGAAAAATAGCAGTTACTATTAAGCTACAGACAAAAAAATTAAGTACCAAATAGCCTTCTTACTAACAGTATCTAATCAAACAGCAAACTTTAAAGTCTTCTGTTCTTAACCTTTTCTAGTAGTCATTTCATTGTTCACATTTGTATTTTTAAAGATCCGCTACCAAAATAAGATACGGGTTTTCATCATGGCAATACATATTTCCACAAACCTGAACATTCTGGAATTATTAGCATTTCTGCGACTGAGCCAAAAGTGAATACATATAAATAGAGTTCAGTGCGAGAAAGAAGGCCAGGAGAAGGCTGCATTATGGCTGACCAAATCAGCTTAAAAAAGTATCAGTAGGAAAATATGTCTCTTGCATTCACATGGCATGCAGCACTCATGCTAATAATACTGCTAGTCAATGCATTAATATGATCATTTGAAACAGTAAATGTCTGTGCATTCGAAGTTTCAACTTGTGCTTCCAGGGTTAGTGTGGGGAAGGAGGGCTGCAGCATATATGTTGTACAGTACCTTGTTTTGGCTATGGAGCCTAGCTGCTGTTGCTCTTGGATGAGCTCAGCTAGTCGTTTTTGCAGAGACATATCTTTACCATGTACTTGTTTAATAAATGGATGCTCCAAAAGATGGGTGACTGAAGGACGCGTTTCAAAATCCTTGATAAGACACCTGTGACAGAGAAATACTGGTCTCAGGCAATGATGTTATTTCATTACAGCATGATTTGAGTTGGCTTTCTGTGTGGCTGTTACTGTACAATAGTCTCTTTTTCCACAAATTTGAGTTCCTCAGGATGCAATAAGACCATTCCTCTACATCGGAATAAATCTGGCATAAAATACTTAACTAAGTGAATTCACCCTACAAGTACACTAGTACAAAGGCTATGAATTTGAGCTTATTTAATCTCTCTTTTTAACTGTAATGAGTTTACTATGAAAAAATGGCATCGTATCATATCTTGTAAGTGCTGTACAGTTAATATACATTAAATGTAACCTAAGATAAATTGACAATACTTCATTTACTTTAATTTTCTACCTATTCTCCAATGAGAGTTTGACTAAGAACTGTAGGAAATAGCCTACTAAAAACCACAAGTGAAACCTGTGATACAACACAGAACAATTTGATATAGAACTTTATTGTAAAATGAATGTTTCATGTAGATCTTCCATATTGCAATGATAAGTGTTAGCATAAGACTCACAGAAAATTCTGCAAACCTACGTAATTCAGACCAGAAGAGAAATGAATGAGTCAGAATTAAGTGCTAGCCAGGGTACTAAAGTTCTGTCTGTGATAGGAACAGGTGATCTAGCAATGAGTAAAGAGATATATCCTATTAAATTAGCATAAAATAAAGTATCATGCTAATTTATATACTTGAGATTTAAAATTGAGGGAGCCATTACTAAAGTTAAATTCTTTTCTGTATAAAAAAACTGAAATAATACAGTTCAAACAGAAGAATGATGGAACAGGATTAGACTGCTTTAAAGTACCCCCTAACTCTTTACGTTAAAGTATTCTGTTTATTGTGCTCAAGTAAGAATACTGACGTTATTTGAGAATGTGAAAAAGAAATGCTGCAATTCAGTATATATCTCCCTTCCAGCACCTATCATTTCAGCGAATTATAGCCCAAGATCAGTTTATTTGATAAGATGCATTCATATTACATACTTTACAATTACATCTCATATTTGCTGATATTAAGAGATACACTTGAAGTACTTCCTTAGCACAGTCAAATATTACAAATAAAGATTATCTTTTTAGCCAAAAGTTCAAAGAAACTTTAATACCTTTTAGAATAATTTATATTCTAGCAGTATCAATAACAATTTGCAAAATTTAAACTAAAATCTAAAAAAAAACCATACATATTAATTGATTTCAAATACTATCAAACACATTAGCAAATGATTAAAGTTTAACCTCACCTCAAGTACTTTACTGAAGCCTAAAGTCTGGTCTTAAAATGATCCTGAAAAATCTTTGAACATAATTTTAATACTTTAGGTTCCTGAAAACCATTTTTCCAACCTCTTCTTGGCACATCTAGCCCAGAAAAGACAGTCTGTAAAACATGCTACCAGTTTTATAACTACTTTGGTGAATTTTGCTGTAAGCTAGAACTGTAGCCTCCTGATAGAAAGACTAAAGTAACCAAACCTGCTTTATCTCCATCCCTCTGAATGCAAGGCTATAAATACCAGTCCTTCTCCTCCCCACCCCCCTGCCTCCCGCCATGAAAAGATCCATCATTAGCCTTCAAAAGGTTGTGACAACTCCCCCCCCCAACTTTGCATTTTGTGATCCATGGTTTTTGAAAGTCAATACACACACAGAGACAATATGATCCATGCCAATCCTGGTTAAATTTATATGTTTCCTAAGAAAAAGGAAAAAAGCATTTGAAAACAAAGATAACATTAAACAGGAAGGCAGAGGAAAAAAAAAAACAAACCAAACCAAAACAACAAAAGCTATGCAGTATACAAAATCACAGATTGATGACAAGAAGTACGTGAAGTGGAGATTTCAGTCTGAAAAGCTCATGCACTCATGTGATTTTTACTATTCTAACCATAATTACAAATTTAGAGTGTTTATGCTATATTGTTAATAAATAAATTTTCTTGTTAAATTTGATTAGATCAGGAATTTTTCACTAATATAATTGAATCCAAGTGAAGCTATGTCATAGAATCATAGAATAGTTCGAGTTGGAAGGGACCTCTGAAGATCATCTAGTCTAACCCCTCTGCAGTGAGCAGGGGCATCTTCAACTCGATCAGGTCGCTCAGAGCCCTGTCCTACCTGACCTTAAATGTTTCCAGGGATGGGGCATCTACCACCTCTCTGGGCAACCTGTTCCAGTGTTTCACCACCCTTATTGTAAAAATTTCTTCCTTGTATCTAGTCTGAATCTACCCTCTTTTAGTTTAAAACCATTACCCCTTGTCCTGTCACAACAGGCCCTAATGTCATGGCAGTTGCTTTTCAGATAACGACATTAGAGTTTAAATGGATTCTCTCCAAGAAACTACACAGTTCCAGACAGAATATCTTGTGTTTACCAAAAGTGTGAAGAACAAACAAATCTTTTACCTGGTGGTATGTAGCTATTAACATGAATTCTAGTCTGAGCTCTGGAACAATGCACCTCCAAAGACACTCTATGGACAAGATCCAGAAGTTGCAAGAGAAATTTTTCCATATAGATGGCCCCTAGGTGAAACATCCAAATGCCCAGGATACTGCATTCATTAAGGAAGCCCAACAAGAAGAGATGGAAGGAAAACATTTCACGGAAAAAAAGTTCTTGGCTTCTCTATTATGTTCCTGAAATGCTAGCTGTTTAGGTCTGGCGGGTGTTTTAATGAGCACAGGTAAGTTCTGTCAGGGAGGCAGTCCTGAAGACTACTTAGGATTACCTTTGGTTGTGTTGCATACTCCTGCCAATCCCCTGCTATTCACTTTGCATGCATGCTACTCTTCTGCTTTGCAACTATCAAAGTTTATATATAGTTTCATCTATAGGCAGCCTTCATTCTCTGGTAGCAGGATATTTTTGCAATCTGTGGTCACTTAGGATTTCACTTAAAACACAAGTAAAACTTCATGAATTCACAAGATGGCCAAGCTAATGACACAAGACACATCCACATGATTCTGCGATCAAAGTCTCTGTTCCAAGCTCAGACAGAGCACACCTACTATTGTGCCAAGTTTGTGCCTATATTGGAAGAAAAAAGCCCTTTCAGATGGTTAGTGAGATGCCACAACAAAGCAGAGAGCTCGTAACTAACAGCTGTGCAAGGGTGAGGTACAGCTGCTTAAATTCATGTCTGTAACTTCCTGTATGAGTACTTCTGCTTCAGTCCAGGGAAGAGACTGACAGAAGAATGTACATCTCCACTGAAGTTGGTTTAATCCACTGAGTTAAATGTCAAGTTCCTAGCCCATTAAGAACACAGAAGCAGAAAGACCAGGCAGGTCATAGGGAATTGAAGTGTGTATGGCATATTCACTATTCTTTTGCTCTGAAACAGCAGAAGCGTTGACACAGTCACTTCTAGAAATTACTCCTTATTATGTTTCAAGTGCCAGTAACCAGCTTGCAGCTTAGTCACAGTAGGCACTGTGGGCTCAGTGCGTACTCAGCTACACAGTGCCAATTTGCTGTATCACCAGACGTGCTGCGATGGAGTGCAGGATGGAGAGGTGTCATGTGACACTGAGAAGATAGTCCTTTTGTTTCTCCTCTTGGTGCATATCTCCTTGTCCTAATTCCTCTCCATGTAGACAAGACCTATGAATATTCTGAGGTATATTTACGTGCCCTGCTTCTACACACTGTCATTTCAACTGTGTTGCTTTTAGTGCCATACTGAATGTGTGCTGCTGCTGTTCTTAGTCAACGTTAGCTGAAAAATAAAAATTCTTGGGCCACCACCTATGTGCTAGTGAAAAATGATGCATCAGACTGCTAGTGTCACTGCAGGTGTTCAGTATGGTATCATCTCCCATACTGGAAGCAGTATTGACACCATACTGCTCTTCAGAAAAAAGTAATTTAATATAGAATATCAGCTCTTACGATGCTAAAGCTTGCATGAAGGTGAGCATTATCACAGTGTTTTCTACTGACTTGCACCCTGAAATAGAACTATAAAGTGTGGGAAAAGTTTATCATATGGGTGCCTGAGTCCAAAGTTGTGAGTACATTCAGTCAGGAGATGTATTCCATTTAAAGGCCAGAAAAAAATAAATCAAGAAGTAATACACAAAAATACAGCAATATTAACATTTGAAAGAGGAAGAATACAGTAACAAAACACCTTTTATAATGTCACTTATCAGAAAATATTCTTATTCAATGCAGCTGACAGAAATCAGTCTGTGCGTTGTGCAAATAAAAAACAGTATTAAGAAGTCATATCACTGAAGGATTTGCTTCTGAGGGAAGGAGAAAACTAAAATATCTTGAGGTGCTCATCTGAGCATTCATTTAAGACCAATTTGGACAGTTAGCTTAGGCACTGTCAAACATCAACCATGCTGCAACTACACACAAAACCAACAAATGTGCTGCACCTGCAAATTAAACCAATTTGTTTGGCCCATGGAAATTATTTAAGAAAAAAAAAAAAAAAAAAAAAGTGGTGTGACTGCCTTGCATTGAGCAAATTGACTAGCAAATCTACTACAAGATGGGTTTCGTATAAGGTATGATGAAAATATGATCATATTTGGTCTGCTATTTTTTGGATCTAAAATAATGGGAAGGCTAAGTAAACAGACACTGAGAAGGAAACAAACATTGTACATGTTTGCCTTGATGAAAGTCAATCCATTAGGTAATTTGAAATTCTAGTATCTTCCATCATGCTTTCTTAGCTGAAAATTAATTCTCAGAATTCATTAGTGTCACTACATTAAACATAGGTTGCAGTCATTTGCTGCAATCTCACAGCCAGGCTCCTAAGCACCATTTCCATTCTGCCACGATTACAGGCAAAGATGGAACATGTATTAGCAGGGGCTAAAAGCAGACTCCCATACACACAGGCCTGTCTGAGACGGCCTCTAAAAATTCACTAGCTGCTTGCACTTGGACAATAACCTTGTTGGAATTGCTATGTCTCAATGTAAACTGC